CATAACTGTTCATAACTCGCGGCGTATTTGTGCGCCGCCTATCGAAGACGTTGGTGTAGAAAAGACTATACCGCACCCAGGTTACAACAATGCGCGCAAAACCAATGATGTTGGCTTGGTAAAGCTGAACCGACCGGTGCATTTCCAAAGTGAGTATTGAAATTTTATAAATACTTTGATTTCGTTAATACTCTCAACTAATTTTGCAGAGCATATTAAGCCAATCTGTTTGCCAATCATTCCCGAAGCTGGACAAATACCCACAGACCGACGCTTCTTCATAGCCGGTTGGGGTGGCACCGAAAATAGCAAAACTGCGAATATATTGCAAAAAGCGTTGGTGCCATTTAAAACACGCGAACAATGCCAAATGATCTTTCGGCGAACTCGCATCAACGAAAATCATCTCTGCGCTGGTGGCGACGGACTAATTGACACATGCAAAGGCGACTCTGGAGGTCCGCTCTTCTACTTGGCACCGTACAGTGGGCCCCAAAAAACGTTACGCTATGTACAATATGGTATTGTTTCCTTTGGTGGTACTGAATGTGGCAGTGATAAAAATTCGCCTGGTATCTATGCCAACGTAGCGCACTTTATGCCTTGGATAACCAGCCATATTGTTTAAATTAATTGACTGTCTTTATTTGTAAGATGTTTGTGTAGAATTTATTGCTTAAAGAAATGCTTTTATACTTGTATTTATAGTATTTATTGACAAAGTAGAATAGATTAATAAAACATATAACACTGTGGAACACAAAAAAATAGAGTGCGCATTTATCAGGTTTGATAGCTGTTGGCCATACGAACAATTCGTGCTCTCAAGAAAAAAATGTTCATGATCCAAAAATCTGAGTATAGAGCCGATTTTTTCTCCAAATTTTGAAAATTTATCGTTTTTTTAAGACTATATTTGTGGAAAATAGCATACATAGGCCAAAAACGATGATTTTTAGGTATTTTTTTTTAAGAGATAATCAAGTTTAATTTTTTTTTTTATCTGACGCTCGGGCAGACCTTATACCAACGCGACGTCTAAGACTTTGAGCTCGCAGTAGTTTCTGGTGGTTTAGCAGAGCATGCTTACAACTACAGTCATCAGGCATGAGTTCATCCGACAATGTCTGCACCGCAGGCCGGCAACTTGTTTTTTTTTTTTTAGCTGCAGAATTGCTGGTCGTACTTCGTTCATTGGTTTTGTCCTCCTCGACTGGGGACGCGTCGATTTACTTTCTCCACTGGTTTCTGTGTTGTTACAATTCAACAGTGTGGAAAAGTGTCGCCTCCATAATTTAAGCATATTCTGGTCAACGGGTAACGGCCAAAAAGACGACTTATTTTGGAACGAATTTCCGTCATCCCTTGTTAAGTTTGGTTTGCAGACAAACCGGTTTTGGCGTTGTGCCATCCTCAGTGTCATGTTTCGTTCGTTTCGACACTGAAGATGGCACAACGCCGAAACCGGTTTGTCTGCAAACCAAACTTGACAAGGGATGACGGAAATTCGTTCCAAAATAAATCGGAAAAATTAACCAACACCAACAGCCAAAAAGACCTTTCTGTCACATTTCCGTAATCAGTTTCATAAATAAAAGTTGCAGGATGTGACTTCAATTGATAGAGCACAAATCGATTTCGGAAATATATTTCAACTTGCTCTGCTGCACTAGCAATTTACAATTCGCCTTTGGGAAATAAAAAAAAACCCTCTTTCAAAAGACACTATACGTGCAGAGTGGGAATGCTCATACAATTGCTTTCTTAAATTTTTCAATTTGATAGCCCTTTCGTTATATGTATATGCATTGCATTACCACGTCTGGCTGGCCAAATTTCAAGCATTAAGCACTCAAGCATTCATTAACATATTCCTGTTTTTATTACAGAAAAAAGTTCCGTTTTCCTCTTCAGCTCCCTATGTCCATACCACATATGTAGCTCGCGTTTCGCCCGATCGCACGTGGAACTGTAGGCGACATCTTTTTTTCTGCAGCGGCGTGACATCCAACTACTTCTTACAATAAACTATTTTGGTGTAAAATTCGGAAAAAAGTAGCGAATTTCAAAGAAAGTCTACTCTCCTGTTCCTCTTAATAAATGTTACATAACAAAAACTGGTTGAAAACAATTGTAGGGCTCCCCCAAACAAACCTATCATATAAGAATTCATTTACATAATAAATATATTGAATTTAATCTTTTAAATAAATGGTAACCCTCTTAAAACACCTCAAAAATATCCTAACTGATAAAACTGAAAATTTATTAACACTCTTTCGTTTGACACCCATATTTTACTATTTCATATAAATTTTGTATAATTTTATTAAATTCGCCCTTTGAAACAGATGGCAACCTTCTTCAACAGTATTTTCAGACAAAAGTCTTCTTAAATCTCATACGTTTGAAATTGTGATACATATTAAAATTAACTGATAAATTAAGACGAATTTGTTATTTTTTAGCACGTGGTAAGTCTAGCAAATATAGTTCAGAAATAAGAGAAAATTATAGTAGCACCATATTTTGACCAGTTTTAACATGTTTATTTTGTTGATATTTAATTTTGGTTATTTTTGTTATAGGAATACGTAGTTCATTCTTTAACGAAACCCGTGTAAATCCAAGTTTGAAACTTTGTCAATATTTAGAAAAAATTCAAAAAACTTTCGTAAAATTTTCGAGCTTTTTAAATTAGATTTACTAGACAGATTCTGCAGTTTTGTTTGTTAAATTTTAGTGGAATAAAGTACAAGTTTTAAATTGCTAAAAATTACGGTTGATTTTTAAAGAATTGACTATATTTGTATAAAAAATAACCTAAATTAATTAACAACAAAATTAATATACTAAAACTTATGAAAATATGGTGCGTCTATATTTTTTTTGACCACGGTATGTAAATTACTTGTTCTGCATAATAATTAACACTTATGTATTTTAATCTTAATTCTAATCCTAATCGTAATCGTTACTAACCACCCTGCCCTCCCCTATCTCCTTCTGTTACTTTTCTGAAAGAGAATTCGACTATTTCTGCTATTTTGAAAATCTGGAGAATTTTTTTTTGTATGGTATAGTTATGAAATAGCTGAGAAATGTATTGGGCTGAAAGGATAATAAATCGAAAGGGGACAATTATTCATTACGGGAGATTTTGGGCTTCTCCACGTATTTTTGCAGTTGCTAATGAAAAATTGCTGGTACATGTGATCCAAAGTAAACTGGCATACTCAAGCTAGTAAATCAGTTTACGTATGTATTTATATAATAAATGAACTTTTAACCTGCAAGAATGAAGAAATACTTCAATCAATATACGTACATTAGAGTAGTCCAATTTTTGTATGGGGAAAAAATGTTTCATCCTAGAAAAAGTGGCACCCTTCAGTTTTTTCCTTTTGATATTTGTAATATCTATACCACTCCCCAATTTTTCCTTTTTGATACTTGAAATATCTATACCAACTTTCAGTTTTCTACTACAACCAGTAGAGGGTGCTCAATGACCTGAATGAATGAATGGCGCTACTAGATCGCTGTGAAATTGGCAAAAATAGTGGTGATTTTTATAAAAAGCTAATGTTGCCATGACAACTGAAGCTTGTGCATTTTTTTTTTAGATAATTTAAATTTGAAATTTTCTTAGGATACTTAACCGATTGATTAATATATGTATACAATACTTCTAGAGTAAAATATGAGCACCCTGTAAATTTATACATAGAAATGTAAACTTTGGTACCAGCACCTCTTTCGGAGGGATGGAAGCCTCAAACCCTATCTTGGAAATTTTTTTTTGGGCCACTCTAATATACATACATATGTATATACATATGTAGATATGTATATATGGAGTTACATACATATGTACATGTTTACTAAATAGTAGATCCTAATCCATCACTTTCATTCACAAAAGAAACAAAATGCAATGAATAAACAAAGGGATATGCAAACAAAGACAGTATTAAATGGACGAATTAGATAAAAGCGGTTAGTTTTAGGAAAATTGGGCATGCATTTGCGCATAACAGCACCTAGTAATTGTACGTGCTTCTAGTCTTAATTTGTCATTTGAATGTGCCGCTACTTGCTACTGGGAGAGATAATGGCAAATCCCTTGCGTAAGACTCTAAAATGGTATGTAGGGTACCAAAAATATATACATAAATAAATATAAATAAAGACAACTTTATTTTCTCACATTGCAGCACATTTTTTTTATTTGCAACCTATTTTACTTTGCCATTCGTAGTGAAAGTTTCTGTGGATCTTATAAATAATTTTTTTACCTCCTCGATATCCTTCAATTTGGACACGCTCTAGTGGGTATTTTATGATAATAACTCAAATTAAATTCTTACTCTAATTTTACTTTTTTTACATATATGTATGTAGCATCAATTGGAACACAACATTCCCAGCTGTAACTGTCTGCGAGATCTACAATGGCGAGAAAATGTGGGATATGAGTGAGAAATATTTCGGCACAAATCATGATCTTCAACTGGATGATTTTGTCAGTGAGGTGGTGTACTTTCGCGGCACCTGCACTACTTGCGATAAATGTGAGCGAATAAAATGTCCGCAAAATTTCACAGAGCTATTGACACGGGTGCGTATGAGTAACTTAAGACATCTGCCTGGTAGGAAATTTAGGAACTGGAGGTATATGTTTTTTGTTTTTTTGTTTTAGAAAAGATATGTATGGAGATGGTAGTGAAATAGTCAAGGGTTGTTAGCTCTGCATAAGGTGTCATCTAACTTGTAGCTAAGTACTTTTGGACAGAAAATATCCACACATTATTTTTTTAAAATTTTTTTCATGTTTATTTACTTAATTCAATAGTACATATTTGTTTGCTTGTTTATATATTCAGCTATGGGTGACCCCATAAGCGAATTCCGTCAGACAATATATAAAGTTTCGATCTTCAGTTTCGTTTCAGTGAATTCGAAAAGGAATCTGTGAGGTGTAGAGCAAAAATCTGTTCAAAGTAATTTTTGTGTGAGAATATTAAAAAAGAAATATGTTTAAAGAAAACAAGCTCCCCATTAAGTCTGTATGACTTTTGCTAACTTTACAACTCACTTTTAGTTGGTTTTATTATTGCTGATCAAATGTGAGATATTTATCGAAATTCCCCAAAACAACTAACTACAAGTTGATTATTTTTTATCAATTGTATGTGGGTAATTTCATGAATACCCAATAGGAAAGAAGAAACCATCTGGCTACAAATCACAACCATAAGGATATTGGTTTTGTAAGTAGAAAAAAATTGTCAAAAATTGTATTAAAACTGGCAGCATTTTAATATGTAGAGGATTTGTAAAAAAAATAAAAATTATCTAAGGGTTATGCTGGCTAGGGCAATTGAATTTTAAGTCGATCGAATGTAATGCACCATGTATCAGTTCTTTGTTTTTTGTTGTAATGTAAAACGGCCCATTTGACCTGTTTATGATTTTAATGATATTCAGTATGGAAGTTAAATGTAAATAGGCCTTTGCGTGTATTTGGTCCAAATTAGTAACTGCTTACAAGAATTTAGGTATAGTTTATTGAGTACTCTTAGTCTAACCCGATATCCTACATGGTACTTTTATATACATACATATCTACATATATGTGTTTGGGTGTAATATATCGTTTACAGTTTCGTAGTGAATGCTCGCAGCTACTGTTCAATTGCAGATATATAAATCGACGCTTTAACTGCTGTGATGAATTTTTGCCCAT